TATACAGGAAAAATGCCTCTTAGGGGCATAATATCCAAAACAAATCAAGATTAATTTCTACATATTTCATTGCAGTTACAGAAGAAATGAAATTTGAAGAGTTTCTAATAAATAAGGAATTAAAATACTACAAATTAATTGTATAGCATACATTACTATTATTATTGCAAATACAGCATGGAATTCCACTTAGTTACTGTAATCTTTTTAATTTTAGAGTATGTAAAATATTTTAAGGGCTTTCATACTCTCTCTTGTATCATCAATATTTTTAACTTACTTTTTCCGTAAGGTCATCAATTGCAAATTCTCTCACCATAAGGATTTTTCAGGAGCATAATCCCAGTAGTTGGGGAGAATCTAGCATCAATTTTTTTTAAAGGAAACATTAAGCATCACAAATATGACCTTTTCATTTTTTTGCAGAAATAAAGAACCAAGTCAATGGATTGTTACTTTTGGTGCAACTATAACACCACCTGCAGTGCAACGAAGTCTGGGGAAAATTATCATCCATGAAAATTACCACAGAGAAACAAATGACAATGACATTGCTTTGGTTCAGCTTGCTACTCAAGTTGAGTTTTCAAATGCAGTTCAGAGAGTTTGCCTCCCAGATTCATCTATAAAGTTGCCACCTAAAACAAGTGTATTTGTCACAGGATTTGGATCCATTGTAGATGATGGTGAGTTGTTCAACCTAATTTACATAGTACAAATTTATCTTGGAATCTAACAAGCTGTCTTGGAGAATATCTCTTTGGACTTCTCATAAAAATCATGTTGATGCTTCTAATGTGTACGGATCTGAGGAGGACAGTAGATTAAAAAGTAAAAGGAATCAGATCCTTACCCTAGACCAGTACACAAGTAATTGGAGCAGTGGTGAGAAAGAGGAGAGGCTCACAATAAAAAAGAAGAGAACAGACTGTTTCAGGTACTATAAGAAGGAATAAAATGCTGCAGGAGTACAAGGGAGTAAATGATTACAAATTGTATATTTGCCCAATGTAAATACACCTGGTTAGCATATGCTTCATATACTTTTTTTTGGTCTAAGTTCTTCCTAATTTTAATGAGGATGTATGATGATCACAAACAGGAAAGTGTTTTGTGAATGTTTTGGGACTCAGTTGTGAAGTATTCTGTCTTCCTAATCCCCACCTTGCCCTCTGCTGGTGTCATACTGTTGCTGTATCTTGGGCATTTGTTTTATTTCCCATGCTTCAAGATACCCCAAAATAACACACTACAGCACAGAGCAGGACAAATAGACCTGTGCAGCTCGTATCCTGGTTTCCACCTGAATAGCATTTGGAAAATTGATGACCTTCTCTGAGCCTCAATTTCTTTGTATGGAAGAATGTGAAGTTGGACAAGATCAGCATGATGAACCCTCTCCTCATGAAAAAAAAAGGCATCCACACACACAAAATACTGCATGTAGTTTTGAAGGTTCCAATAGCTTTTAAAGATCCACAAATATAATACTGGCTTAGATACAGTTATATTTGAAGAACGTTTGTTTGTTTGTGTAATAGGACCTACACAAAATAGACTTCGGCAAGCCAGGGTGGAAACCATAAGCACAGCTGTGTGCAACAGAAAGGATGTGTATGATGGCCTGATAACCTCAGGAATGTTATGTGCAGGGTTCATGGATGGAAAAGTAGATGCATGTAAGGTAAGTCCAAAGTCAAAGTCAAAATTCTAAAAGGAAAGTTTCCATTAACTATTTCTAACTTTGGCATATATTTTACCTGGGAGAAAAAAAATGGCATCTGTTTTACCAAAGACTCAGTTTACTTAAATAAACATAATCACAAAATTATTGTATTGAGTGTTCACTATGCCAAGACAATGCTAAGCACTTTCTATACATTATTTCATTTAATGTAATGAGACTGAAGCAGTACCATAATTATCCCTATTTCACAACTTGGGAAATTAAAGTCCTATGCTCCCTATTTCTTGTTCAGGCAATCACTCTTATGCTCTATTGTTATTTTCTTAAACACAATTGTAATCAAAAGACAGAGAACCTCTCCTCTGAAAATCACTTTATTTAGCTCTATCGTCATCTCTCCTGTAGCTTGTTTTCATCCTCCAGCCTCTGAGTCTCTCTGCTTTGTCCCTTTTATTCTTTCATGACACTGACACCTGAAATAGATTTCGTCTCCATCCCAAGCCCTGCAATATTAACACCGACTCATTTAAATGCTGGATTCTTAGTTCCTAGACCCCCTCACCTCTGGTGATCTTCACTCCTTCTCGGCCATTTATTTCTAGGGCCACACCTTGAACCCTGTCACCAAAACTGTTCCGTCTCCAACAACACTAATTCCCCAAATACTTCTTTTTAACAAGTATCCTCAGTCCTTTCTGGCTGTTTTTCAACCACTTCTGTTTGTTTAGCCACACTCTTCTGTTACACCTCAGCTTACCAACCCTCACCCACCAACATACACAACCTACACATATATTCTTTGTGTCCCTTCTCGGTTTCATTTTTATCTCTAGCTCTTACATCATCCAATACACAGTATGTTGTTTAACTGGTTTACTGTCTGTCTCTCTCACTAAAATAGAATGTAAGCTCCAAGCAGGCACACACTTTGGAGCGCCTGTTTTATTTACTGCTGTATTAGCAGCTCCTAAAACAATACCTGCACAAATATTTGTTGCCTAAATATCATCTTTATTCAGTTTCGTAGAGACCTGTAGACCATTGCTCCTCTGCTATCTCACATTCCGTTAATCCTTTCCTTTCTTCCATCATCGACTTGTCCAGCTCAGATCTCAGTGGGATCTAAGAGATCTTAGACCTCACTTTGGCTAAGACCACTAGATGCTCTCTTTCCAGTGTTTCTGACAAAGTCCCAAACCTGGAAGAACTCAATCATCCGGTTGCTCTCTTTACCTGCATCTGAGAAGTCAAATGCTCCTGGAAAAAATACAACAGAACATGTGGTTCCACTGTAGGTTCCAGATAACAAAACTGACAACCTTACTATTTTTGTTAGTTTGTTTGTTCCTATGTCTACATTTTTCTGCATCTGTCAACATTTTCCACTTTCCTTTTTCCTTAACTTCTGGTTTTTCCTGCCCCTTGATTCTCAGCTGATGATTTTGTTTCCCAATTTTCAAAGAAAAATAGAAGTCCTAAGAGGGGAATTTCCTCATCTTCCCAGTACCAAGCATATAGATCTGCCTTCATCCATTTCATCTGCCTTCAGCTTAGGTCACACAGAGAAGCTGCCTCCTTGCTAAAGCTGATCTGTCTCCACTGCTCAAATTCCTCTGGTTGTCAGCCCTCTGGGGAAGTTTACACTAGCAACTAGGTCCTCTGTCTCCTTTCAGAGTCAACATTTTTGTTGTAACTAGATCCTGTCCTACTCAGATCTCTCAAGTTAGGGATAAAAAGACAAAAACAATTCTTTCTTGACCCATTTTGCCTCCAGCTAGCATCTTGTCTTATCTCTTTACCATCAAATATTTGGGAAAATGTCTATACCCATTGTCTTAATTTTCTCACCTACCACTAACTCCACAAACCATTTCAGTATGGTTTCTATTGCTTTATCAAAATCTTATTGCTTCATCAAAATCTCTCTTCCTAATGTTTTCAATGAACAACTAGTGACCTTCAACAAAATTTTTTTGTCTTTTTTTTTCTTCTTAGCAGCATTTAATAATGCTGACCTCTCCCTCTTTCCTGCAATATTGTCTTCCCTTAGCTTGTAATGATTTTCATCCTACACCTCTCTCTACTCCTTCTCTGTGTCCTTTTCAGACTCATTCTTTTAATCACAGCCATCACACGTTAATTTATCCTATGCCTGTTTCTCTTTTTACTCTATACTTTCTCTCCAGAGAATCTAGTTCTCTTTCATAACTTCAATTATCATTTTTTTGTAGATGTATTATAAATTTATACTTTTGATTCCAATCTTAGTTTTGATCTCCAGACATATATTCTATTCCTACCTGGTTGCTGCACTTGGATATTTCAAAGGCCTTTCAGATTCATCTATTGCACCTGATTCTACTCTATTCCCCTCCCCACCTGATCTTCTTCCTATGTTTTGTATCTCTGTAAATGGCATCCCCTTTGATTCTGTTAAACAAGCCAGAAGGCTAGAAACATTCTAGTTTCTCTCTTTATTCCATATCCAATTGGTATGGGATCCCAATGATTTTCCTCCTTAACTCTCTCTCCACCATCTCTTGCCTTTCTCTCCTCTCTCAACCTCTCTCTCCTCCCTCAACCTCTCTCTCCTCCTTCTCCTTCCACTCCCTCAGCTGCATTAGCCATCTAGTTTATTTTCTTATATTCACTCTTAAGCTCCTTTGGTGCATTCGTCAAATGAATGCCAGGATGGTTTCTAACAAGATGTAATCTGATCATTTCAACTCCTTCCTTTAAACACTTAAAATTCAATGGTTTATCTTTGTTGTTCTTTAAGATAAAAACCAAAAACTTCTTAAAAAGACCCACAGGGCTCCACATGGACTGACTAGTCACTTCCAACCTCCTACTGCCAGTCATTATGTATCATTTGCCCCTTGCTGTCTTCTCTCCAGTACCTCCCCCCCTTTTTTAACAGGCCCTTGCATATACCAAGCTCCTTCATGCCATGGGGCATTTGTCATGCTGTTCATTCTGTCTAGAACACATTTCATGCACACCTTTCTTTTCATGATTTACTCCTCTTCTTTAGATATTAGCTCAATTACATCTCACCAAGGGAAACATTCCTGACCTCCCTCACCAGTTGAATTCCCCTATTTTATGTTTCCATAGTACTTATCACAGTTGTCATTTTGCATTTATTTGCAGGCTTATTTAATATTTTTTAACCTACCTGTCAATCTCTATGAGCATAAGGACTGTTCATTTTTGGTCATCATTTTATCCTCAATGCCCATCAAAATGCCAGGGACAGATAGTAGGAACTAAACAAAGAGTTGATAAAAGAAAAAAATAAATAAATGAAGAAGGTGGAAGCGGTACAAAGAGGTTACCCTGTGTATCTCACCCTGGGTCACACAACCACTAATTATTAGAGCTGGACCTGAAAGTTGGGCATTTCAACTACTGAGACCACACTATTAACCTCTACATTTGTATCTGTTAATTTACTTAATCTTTCTTGTTCCAAAAGAGATTTAAGGGGGCTTATATAAAATTCAGAAAGCAAATATAAATTAGAATTAGATGAGTAAAAGAAAAAGAGGCCAAATGTAGGTCCATAAAATACAGTAAGCTAACACATTCAGAAGAGATCATAGGATATTTTCACCATTGCATAAATACTAACCTCACATTAAGTATTTTATATAAATGCTTAGTAAACTATGCATAAAGTGTCTAATCAAACTAGTGAGAAAAAAATCCAGGGATGCTGAACCAGAAATAGTTCATATGCGTGAGTGTTAATCTTTCTAGAAAACAATTCACTTTAAAGTTTAGTACAACATTTTAACTCAGTTGATAGAAACATTTTATAATCTATCTCTAGTCTGGCTGTATGTTCTATGTATTGATTTCCTTTTTTTTTTCCCTGTGGAAGAGAGATGATTGTAATGACCCTCCTATTGAATTAAATTAGAGTTAATTTTAATTTTCTTTTTCTCTAGGGAGATTCTGGTGGACCTCTGGTTTATGATAATCATGACATCTGGTACCTTGTCGGTATAGTAAGCTGGGGACAATCATGTGCACTTCCCAAAAAACCTGGAGTCTACACAAGAGTGACTCAGTATCGAGACTGGATCGCCTCAAAGACTGGTATCTAGTGTGAACTGTCCATGAATTATATCCATGGCACACAGAGCTAAAACTCCTGCATATTGTATATTTATATTCTTGGGGTTTGGATCAATGCTTTTGCTGGATGTCAAGAAGTCCTTCAGACTTGAACTAATCTCATATCATTAGGTGGACTTTGTGTACATGTGACAGAACTCTTCCCTACCCTAAGGGAAGAAGACAGCGAATGACAGGTAGCACTGACTCCTCACTCACATGGGAAACTGTTTGTGATCTTATTCATCAGATGCATGTTTACAAATGGTTTCCCCCAAGTGAAGATGGGAAACATCATTCTCCACAGGATATAAAGAGCTGCCAGGGCTGCCAAAATCTTACCACATATAGTACCTGGAGCACTTGGGATTCTTCTAGTAAAAAATCAAACAGCAATCCTCTCTAAGGATTCAAGGCTTCAACCTTCTAGGACTGATGACTGAACACTCAATGGCTAGAATGGAGAAGTATGGGATTTGCAATATACCTTGAACTCTAACTTAGGTTTATAAATAATAATACAGAGCATTATCATTAACCACAAGAGTTGCCACTTAAAAGATGTTGAAATGTATCTGAACTTGCTATTAACATTGTGTTATACACAAAAGCACTAGCTTCAGGATGTATGTTGTATTGTTAATAAGCATTTCTGATTTATTCTTTAACAGCATCTTGCTATACATACATCAGTTGGAGTTAGACCACAAGGGAGAATAAAGAAGAATCTTGGGAGCACTTTTCCATGGGTACAAGGAGAATAAAATGAACCAATGGGACCCAGGCTAGCAGAGTTGGTTTCAAATGATTAATGATAAAAGAAGCACTCTTTAGATTTTTGGTAGAATGAGACATCCAGTTATGTATTTAGAAATATCTACATAT